ATAATCGATGCGCTGCGACAGTCAACATAAAACTAGTAGCAAATCTAGACAACTCGCCCGCTACCGCGGAGCTAAAGGAAGGAGCTAGGATCTCGCGGCTGCGAACGTCACCACAACGCTTCGATCTAAAACTCGCTAATACGTCATAGATGTCCCTTCCATCGAGCAAAAGCCCCTAACGAAAAGAATCGCAACAACAAATAAAAGCAATCGGCCGCCATGGATTTCCCAAGGATAGCAAGCTTTTCCAAGGACGACTTGTGGACGGTAAACTCACTCGACAGCGCTAGTGCTGTGTCGGTCCTTCCCAACTCGCCATGTCGCAATTAATCAATCGCATCCGCTTACCACGCGCTTTTCGCCCTCCAGCCCAAATCAACGCAGAAGAAGGCACGAATGGACACCCAGAAACGAATCGCGGGAAGACGGCGCCCAAGGAAGCGGAGAATGGCAACGGGAAACAGGAACAGTCTGAGATGCAACCTGTGGGGTTCTGGCATCCCGACCTGCGACAAGTACGCAACCGCGCATTCGTAAAATGGATCATCACGACGGCTTTCCTCATGGCATTCATCCTCTGTGTGCTATCGCTGTACTGGGCCGTATTTTTCAAGGTTGAAAATAGGCTGAGCCATTTACTGGTGTATGTCGTGGACATGGATGGAGCGGCGCCTTACGACAACACGGGAAACGCGCCATTCGTTGGACCGACCATCACGCAATTAGTACAACAACAGCTGAGCAGCGGCCAGCCGACGTTGGGATGGGGTGTTCGACCTGGTTCAGATTTCAACAACGATCCATTAGAAGTCCGACAAGCTGTCTATAACTGGGATGCCTGGGCCGCCATTGTCATCAACCCCAACGCGAGCGCGCTGTTGTACTCTGCTATCGCCAACGGGAATACGAGTTACGATCCCCTGGGAGCATGCCAATTGATATACCAAGACGCCAGAGACGACACGAACTGGTTTGATTTCATGTTCCCCATTATCAGCCAGTTTATGACGCAGGCCCAGAGTATGGTCGGACAGCAATGGGCACAGATGGCTATGCAGAGGGCGAGCGACCCAGCAGTACTATCGAACATTCAGAACGTACCCCAGGCCATCAACCCGGCGATTGGCTTTTCTGAGTTCAACCTGCGGCCTTTCTATCCATACACTGGCATTCCCGCTGTGTCCATCGGACTCATCTGTAAGACGCCTTACAACTCCCACCTTGGCTGTGGCTAACAAAATTCGCAGATCTCATCATCATATCCTTCTTCAGCTTCTCATTCTACATGCCCATCCACATGCAATACCTCAAGCCCGAAAACCACCCGCCTCTCAAGTTTAAGCAACTCATCGTCTGGCGATGGTGTGCTACGATATGCGCCTACTTAATGCTTTCACTTGCCTACTCCTTCGTATCCATGGCTTTCCAAATCAATTTCTGGCACACCAACTCCATCACCAGCGAAACGCAAGTCACGAACATGATGGAAGGCAATCCGGTGGCATACGGAAGTGGCACGTTTGTCGTGTACTGGATGCTGAATTTCTGTGGCATGATCGCGCTGGGACTGGCCTGTGAGAACGTGGCGATGATTGTGGGTATGCCGTGGATGGGATTATTTTTGATCTTCTGGGTCATTAGCAATGTTTCCACTGCGTTTTATGATATCGAGATCGCGCCTGGGTTCTACAGGTGGGGATACGCCTGGCCGCTACATTCAAGTGAGTTTTACTCATCTCCACGTGTCGTCGCTATCAACTGCTAACATCATATGCGCAGTTGTCGAAGGAAGTCGCTCGATACTATTCGATCTACATTCAAGGATAGGACTGGATTTCGGTATTCTGCTTGCTTGGGGAGCAGTCAACACGCTGTTCTTCCCCTTCTGCTGCTGGTTTATGAGTAAGTCTGCTGCAACTGGCACTATGTTCTGTACTAACATTGAACAGGATGGAAAACACAACACAACATTCACGAATATTGGCCTCTCGACTAGTATGGAAGCACACTTATCTTCCCCATGCCATTACGTTTTGGACGTTTGTTCGCAATACTGACCATATACTATAATGTATACATAATAATGCTTATACTCATGTTCGCTTCATTTTCCAATGTGCAACTCATTCTCATCACATGGCATCAATGTTGTAGTATGACAAATGTGTAAAGATAACATTGCGCTATAACGAGGGTATCAGGTCTTAACAATCATAGTAACAGCTGGACCAACTCCACGCTGATCGTGTGTCGTGTAGTATTCGTAATTCATAACTCATCATGTACTTCTCTGTAAACGTGCCACCTCAATTGCAGCACCTGTCATAGGTTCATGGACACCTTCCTCGCTCGGACCGCTTGTAAGAATGCTCCGTAGCTCCAGGTCAGATCGTTGGCTCCCCTCATGTAGCCCGTCACGCGGTCGAACTGCTCACTCATACTTCCCTCATCATCAACGTGCGTCTTGATGACCTCGAGGAATTGGTCGGCAGTGGTGTGCAGGCGCTCAATAACGGAGTGGAAGAGCGCATCGGAATCACCGTAGGTACCAACATCAACAAAGAGGGAAGAAGTTGCGAGGAGAGCTTCGAAGAATGGTAGACCGGTGTTAGAGATGGTTAGGTTGCCGGCGACCGAAATGTGTGCTGCGGTGCGGTAGAGGACCTCAGCGGCTGACGAAGTGCACAAGAACCAGGGATTGCCACCACGGTTAGAGGTGCCGTATCCGTCGTAAACATCCTCGGGGTATCGACCAAGGCCAGTGCCTTCGAAAGAATCTTCTTCTATGTCGTCATCCTGGTCGTCGTTGGAAGGGCTGCTATTGATGGGGAAGCGATCGCGTTGGTCGCGAGTCAGAGCCAGAAGCGACATGAGCATCTCGTCAGACCATGGTGGATATACAATATCACTTTCGGAATCGCCTGCGGGTAAAGCGTGGAGCGAGCCAAGGAGCAACCCACAGTCCAATCCGCTGCGCTGGCTTGACAGTGTCTCAACGAGATGGCCTTGCTGTGCATCCCAGAACTTGCCGAGGAAAGCCTCGATGTACCCAGCTTGCTCCTCGTACCAGGCCGCTGCACCCATGTCTCCGAACGTCCTTGCAAGGTCGGTGCCCTCTCTCAAACTTCTTGCGCTGACCATCAAGTTGAAGAAGTGCAGACCCTCAACTTCTTCCCAGAGATCGAAGCTCGACTGATTCCAGAAGTGGCTGACGTACTCCAGGTCAGCCTTGATGACACTACGTGGAGGCATCTCCACGGCATAGTATGGTCGGAAGAAGTCTTCAGCTGACTCCGAGCTCCAGAGCAAAGGGTGTGAAGCATTGTATTCGCGTAGATAGTGCATTAGCGTCAGCGCACGCAGGGCTGGGCCATCACGCTGAGGGCGTCCCCATGAGCCAGTAAAGGGTGTTCCGTCTACGTGGAACTTGGGTTCACCAAGCCCAGAAAGATCGTCAAAGGTACCGGATGGGTTTAAGGTATGCTGGATATTGCTCGAGAGGGAGGTATACGCGTCGAGGATGTGAGAGAGTGCGGACCCGCGAGAAGAGGACGGTTCGTCGGCGTAGACATCTACGAGGGTGTTCATAGTGATCGCAGCATCGCGAACCCCTGTTCGAAGTGTATTAGTAGGCGCTCAGTGGCAGCCATAGGTCGGGTGCAACTTACACTGAAACCAGTAATCTGGCCCATCCCGACTCGGACTCGCAATGACCGTGCCATCCGCTACGCCCTTGCCTTGGATATTACTACCACCGGGCGCGACATTTGCCAGGAGTTTGTCTAGAGCTATGCGCTCTTCCTGCTCGATCCACGCATCGAGCGTATCTTGCAGCGGTTGCTGCTGCGTTTGTGTTCGACTGGCGCCGACGAAAGTACTCAGCGGAGGAAGACGCGGTATTGAGAAGGCATAGGCGTGGTGGAGGAAGCCTGCAAGGAGGACTACGCGAGGAAGCATGACAGCTGACTGTCGGATTGACTGGGTAGGGCCGATGGACTAGGACACTGGAAGAAGTGTAGTATAATTAGCAGTTCATAACTAGCGCACAGCGGAGCAGAAAACAAAATGAGGAAGCAGAAGAGAGATCTCGTGGAGTCTAGGTGTTAGTAGTCGATCAAAGAGACACAAGAGCCGCCCATGGCCCCCGAGGCCCCAGGCGTCCATGCTTTGCGCTTCGGCGGTCATCCCTTTCATCGGCCATGATTCTCGATCACGATGATGACGGTAAGTCGCGTGCCAGGACTAGCGGAGTGCGTGGACGAGTAGGAGGCGGTGGACGGGGTCGCGCGGGCGGTCAATTGTCTTGTTTGACATGGCGGGTGATGTGTAAAATGCCACGCGAGCCGACGCCAACAACGTCACGCGACCCACTTCCGCGGATCTGGGGTAAGCATGCAAGGCACCTTCTGGCTGGGCGTGCGACACGAAAACATGCCGAGGTCTGCGCATAGTCGCACATGAAATTTGGTTTTGAACACAATAATGAAATGATGCCGACAGGTGATACAGTGTCATTCAAAGACTGTTTTGTCATTTCGTTGGCTCGAGGCATGGTACTTCTCCTTGTCTAGATCATGCCGAGGTACTACCTAGGTACAGACTGCTCATCATCCAAACTAGCTGAAGCGCGTCAGCTCTGGCCGATGTCTGTCGGCCATCGGGGAGAAATCGTAAGAAAACACCATGATATGAGATGTCCATAGCCCATATCGAGAACTCCAGATGAATTCCGACGTTCTCCGAGGTCCGGACGCATGAGGGGTCCAGTCGGCTACTTGCATGTAGCCGCAATGCACGTCGGTTGTTCCCGACACCTCTGAGCTCATCAAAGTATCATCAGTACACTCAAATTGTGAAAAGACGGTAGAGTTATCCTGCGACGTTGAATTCTTTTTCCTTTTCGCGATTGGGACCTGGCTCGCGATCGTTCCGACGGTTCTTTCCCGGGAGTATTGCGGTCTATGACGTTCAATTGACAGCTCCGACACTTCCCATCCAGTATGCTATCACAGCAAGCGCGAGTGTTGCGCAACGTTCGGACGGCGCGAAAACCTGGCCAACAGATACCCTGTGCTACTTTTTCGGCCTCTTCACGATACAGCAACTACGATGACACCATTCAGAATCTCAAGATCGGATCACACACTCGCGTTATATTTCAAGGATTCACCGGCAAGCAAGCTACGGCAAACGCGAAAGAGTCAATAGCATGGGGAACCAATGTTGTCGGCGGCGTAAAGCCGAATGGTTCAGGCGAGCATCTTGGACTGCCTGTCCTGCCATCTGTGAGGGCTGCAATGGAACAGCTGAAGCCTGATGCGACCGGAATCTATGTGGCAGCTCACCAAGCCACTGCTGCAATTGAAGAGGCGATTGAAGCCGAGGTGCCGCTCATCGTTGCAGTCGCTGAGCATATTCCGTTGCATGATATGATGAGGATACATTCCATGCTACAGTCGCAGTCCAAGTCGCGGCTTGTGGGTGCCAACGCTCCAGGAATAATCTCCGCGATTGGAAGATGCAGGATTGGATTCCAACCACTTCCCACGTTCTCTCCCGGACACATCGGCATTGTGGCAAAATCTGGAACTCTCTCATACGAAACCGTCGGATCTCTGACAAGGGCTGGTGTTGGACAAAGTCTTTGTATCGCAGTAGGGGGTGACGTGGTGGCTGGAACCAACTTCGTTGACGCGTTGAAAGTTTTCGAGGGTGATGAGGATACAGAGGCTATCATTATCGTTGGTGAGCTAGGCGGTACAACAGAAGAGGAGGCAGCAGACTGGATCAAAGATTACAGAAAGCGTGTCAAGAACCCGAAACCTATCGCTGCTGTCATCGGAGGCTTTGAAGCACCGCCTGGCAAAGTCATGGGTCATGCGGGAGCTTGGGTTGGTCTAGGAGAAGGTACTGCGGCTTCAAAATACAAAGCGCTGGAGGATGCTGGTGTGACTATGGTGGACCATCCTGCCAAGTTTGGTGGTGTGATGAAAGACATTCTTGCAAAGTCCGGTCGCAACGTGAAGAAGATTGTATGACTTGACCTCGGGGCAACAATACATGCAGATACTGACAGTGACCAGGAACAATCGGCAGCTCAACAGCGCCGCTCGTATCACACTTCAAGCTTCACACGGCGGCCTGTCATTTCCACTACACCATCAATCTCATTTCAGCAAAGACGTTCTCTCCACCTTACCAAAGACCAATCCACGAACCTTCTCGCGACATACAAAATCGACCTGACAACACCACCAGAGGGCTCGCCTTCGACACATTACCTAGGCATTTCCCCACACCGCTCAGCACGCAGTCCCTCAATCATAGCATCACCCACCGCAAACCCTGCCAAACTGAATCAACGCGTCCGCCGTTTTCCCTTCGACTACCGTTCAGGTCCCAGTAAAGAAGTCATCCAAGCCGCAATCGCACACATGCAACTCGACGCCGCCCCACCAATGGCCAAAGCCCAAACTGTCGAACTGATCAACAATTTATGGAAATTATACAAAGAGAAAGAAGCAATCGACGCCCACGTCAAAGTCGCTCTATCTGTCGAAAGTGATGAAATACTCATCTACGAGCCATACCTATTCTTCGACGACGCGGCGTTCAAGTCAGGCAAGAGACAAGCCGATCTCCATGCTCTCCATGATCAAGAGTCTGTTTCAGCAACAGATCGAGAAGCTGAAGAAGCCGGTATAGTGTACATACCGCTGGGGTCTCCTGAATTTCCGCCGGGGACTACTCAGGCGGGGACACAGACGCCGCCGTCTTCCACAGCAGAAGAGGGACCGCGAAACTTGATCGGAACTTTGGTGAATGGCGCTGGACTGGCACTCAATACTATTGATACGCTGTCTCTGCGGCTTTCACAGCCACCTTGTTCGACTTCTGCTGCTAATTTCTTGGACACGGGCGGGAAAGCGACGTCCGCGACGATTAAGACGTCCTTCAAGCTTATTCTGTCCGACCCCCGGGTGTCTGTTGTGTTTGTAAATATCTTTGGAGGGCTGACGTTGTGTGATATGATTGCCGAGGGCATCATCATGGCGTTCAAGGAGATTGGGGTGGAGAAACCAGTGGTTGTCAGACTAAGGGGAACAAACGAGGAGAAAGGGCAAAAGGTACTGGAAGAAGCCAAACTGCCCATCCATGCCTTCGACGACTTTGAAGAGGCGGTCAAGAAAGTGGGAGAACTGGCTAATGCGAGCGGAACAAAGTAAGGACTAGCTTCATAGACACACAGATATATTTACATTGGCAACAGTGAAAATAGGGGGGGATATCAGATTAAAATACTCTACTGTTGACCACCCGGACAACCCAGTCTCTGCATTCACACAAGAACGAATGTGTTGCCGCTCCCGCCACTGAGAACAAGTCCCTGAAAAGTTCATTTTTCTTTCCAAAAGGGAGCCAGCCACCGTTTGTCCTTTCGTGCAATAACGTACAAGCCTCCTCCCTGTACGCCTGTGAAAAAAGATGAAAGAAAATTTGGGTGGTGGTGGTATCTGCGAACAAATCGAAATGAAGTAAAGCACGTTGGAACTCAAGCGCGGGGGGCGAGCCTCCAAATACCCAAAACATGCGCGAGACCGTAGGGTTCAAGGAAAATGGTGGTGGGCCTATGCGAGGTATTGGAAGGCGGTGCTATGTATCGTTAGTTGTGCTCAGATTTGAATGTGGGAAGTGGAGACATACCCTATGATTGCCATGACGCCCATGCCAACAAGTGCTCTCCGTGTGACCTTCTCCTTGGTCAACTTTTGCTCGGTGGTGTAAGCAACCTTTGCAAGTTTGCTCATACGCTCAGCGGCGAGATCTTCAGCCTCCAAAACGTCCTCAATGCCACGCTTTGTCGACTTGGTGACATTGGCCGACGAGTCGCCTTCTAGCCGTTGTGCTTCTGCGACCATGCGCTTGGCCTCCTCGATCATGGCGGTAGGATCTTCTGGCTCGGGAAGCGCAGCATGGCTGTGAGGGACATCGACGGTGACGTTGGTGCTGGTCTTCTCAGTGTCGCCGTTTGTCTCCACGGTCTGCTCGACTTGAATGTGAACTGTGCCCTCCTTGACGTCTGGCTCAGTCTTGGGCTCAGACACTGCCTCCTTCTCCTTCACATCGCCATCGACGGATGATGCGACGGACTCAGAAGGTGTGGTACCGTTCGCAATGATTGCTTGCAGAGCGCTTGATGGGGTGACAGCCTCATCGGCCTTGGTAAGGTCAGGCTTCATTGTGCTTCTTGTGGCTCGCGACTTTCGTGGAGTCGCAAACTTTCGGCTGCTGGGAGTTGCGCCTCGGCTAGGTGATACAGATCGAGCCGAGCGGGCGCGAGTTGTGCGAAGACCGGGTGCGGGGAGAGTTACGGGTGTGGCGTTTGCGACATCAAACTTTGGTGGCATTTGGATATGCGTGTTTGATTTGTCCTTGTTGCCCTTTTCGATCGGCGCGGGGTCTAGAAGTGCCTCAATCCAATGGCGCATAGAATATTCATCAGACAACGCGAGAGCTAGAGGGACCTTTAGTTAGCGCGAGCTTTCGAGAACAGGTGAAGGTAAGTTACTCACCCTCTTCAGGCGCAATCCATACGCTTCCAGCAACCTCTTCGGCGCCTGCAGAAGGGAATGTCTTTTGGTACTTGCGCTCCATATCTTCCTCTACGACCGAAGCCCATGGGAATGCAGCCTTGAACATGCCTGTCGCACTAATGTAGCCATCGCTGCTGCGTCGCTGTTTGTCGTGTTAGTCGCATCCTGAGCGAAATCTTGCGGCTTCTTTTTTCATAACGCGTACCATCAAAAAGTAAGATTCGGGGAAAGCCGAGGTCTTGTTCAATGTGAAGATGCCGGATCCTGTCAAGTCCTTCGGCAGCGGAACCCTCAGATGCGCGTAATCAAACGTGCCCATGTTCTCCGGCTTGGTCGCATTGGTAAGACCGCTGACGCCGGGCTTTACGCCGAGGTTTGTCTGTCCTAGGCGGCGCCTCTCGATGAGGATCTCGACTGCGCGCAATGGTTAGATGACTGGTCGCAATGACGCGATGCGCAACGTATACGTACTGGCTGTGGATTCGGTGGGCTCGAGAAGAGGATTCTTCCTCTCGGGCAGGTTGCGGTGGGAGACCATTTTGGAGGTGTTGCCGGTAGGTCTTGAAGTCTGGCCTGATGTGCGCGTAGTGATATAACGCGTGTTGGCGATGAATGGAGCGCGCAGCGCAAAGGTGGTTGCGTGAAGATTTGACGGTTCCGTCCACGTATGACGCGCGCAATCGTCAGTAACAATGTACTGCCGGACCGAGTCGCGCGACGAGTGAAGACAGCTGAGTGTCGAATCGAGACGATATGGCGACGTGGGCGAGGGCGTGGTGAAAGCGCGCGATCGACGTGATGAAAGGTGGTGCGATGCGACGGAGGCGGACAGGAAGGAGCGATGGGTGCTATCCCTGTGCACTAGCGCTCCCAGAACGAAGACCCCCAGCCACCCCGGACAGTTGCGCGAACGCAAAAGTTTCGCGGCAACCCTTTCTAGTGTATTTGCAATGCTGGTAGTGCTTACCGATTGGCCGTGCCGATATTGTCATGGCATAGCAGGCCCGAAGAAGCGTCGCCTGTCTTTCCACGGGCTCAATGGGGAAAGCGCTCAAAGTCACGCGTTTCCGCTCTTCTCTCGTGACGCGTTGCTGTGGACAGCACCTGGGCATCACCCTTTCACCCCAAAACACGGCGACCAATGTTCCCACTTGGTCTATGCAGCCTCAATTGATGCAGTTTAGAGAGAATGTCGGCGGCTAGGATGGCTAATCGCACTCGTGATCATTGGTCGCGCGCGGCAATACATCTTCACAACTAATTGAGGCGCTCAAAGTGACGGTATGCTCAAATCGCAAACCAGCGACAAAGACGATTTTTGTTCCACATCGGTTCTTTGCCCGGGCATCACCTGGTACCATTCCTTTAGAATTATATCTCCGGGACGGGATGCATACGCTACCAGCGATGGCGCTAACCACGTCACGAAGCTCAAGCTCAAGCTCGAGAGCTTACCGACAAGTTGTCAGTCTGGTAGAAGCTCGCGACACGACCCTGCAGATACCGGTGGCCTGTTCCAAAAAGAACAAGAGAGGGGTCTGGTCCATGCTCGACCATGAGACAATTCGTACGTCAAGAATTTTCTCTGCCTGAGGACAGGACCATGGCGAACATGGTCGTGTTGCAGCAAGAGTCTGGACAGCTGCGGCATATCTGAAGGGTCCCGCAAGCACCAGGAACGCAGCCAATCAGACGCGCCGACGTACTGGAGCGGTGAATGTGCCCCGCTAACCGCGAGGCTCAACACGAGGCCGCGCCCCTCATTCCTACAATTGACCCTTTGACTTCTCCACAACATTTCTTTTGTTGCCTTGCCCTAAACATCCACCCTCACCTCCACAGTACGCACCGATAGCAGCCATGGCCGACCACGCAGACGACCTCCACGCCGAGGCGACCGAGGGCTTCAAGGTTGGCGAGAAGAAGACGATTGACGAGTACCAGCAGCTGGGTAGGTTCCACAACTTCCCCGGGGAGCTAGTTGCCTGCACACATGGCTAACACGTGCGGCGACAGACCAGAACGACGAGTCGCTCCAGAAGTGGAAAGCGTCCCTTGGTCTTGGACAAGGCAAGGACATCTCCGACCCCAACGATCCCCGCCGATGCATCATCCTCTCTCTCGCTCTCGAAGTCGAAGGCCGCGATGATATCGTCATCGACCTGCGCGCACCCGGTGCCGTCGAGGCTCTTGAGAAAAAGCCCTTCTCCATCAAGGAAGGTGCTCGGTTCCGCATGAAGGCACAGTTCAAGGTGCAACACGATATCTTGTCTGGTCTCAAGTACCTCCAGAAGGTCTCACGCATGGGTGTCAGCGAGAAGCTTCAGGAGATGATGGTGAGCATATCCGCCATAGAGGAGCATATGAGCAAGCACTAACGGCCATGACAGGGCTCATACGGTCCCAGCACTGAGGAGAAGCCATACTACGAGAAGAAGTGTATGTACACGCCCATGTTGTCTCCCACACCCCACTAATGCCTATTCTAGTCGAACCTGAAACTGCCCCCTCCGGTATGCTCGGCCGTGGCCACTACACCGCCGTCTCCAAGTTCGTCGACGATGACAACCACACCCATCTTCAGTTCAAGTGGTCATTCGACATCAAGAAGGACTGGTAGTTTGCGATCGCATGCGTTTGGCTGATGGGGACATTCATGTATCGATGTAGCGGAAGGTGTCATTTTCTTTCGATTGGAAGCGATGGATATCCAGGGCAGCTTAAGCTCCCACGAAGTAACGAAGCGACGGCCGACCATCTAGATGGACCCAACAAGTCCGGCTGGATGGCGCAAAGGCGAATTGAACAGCAGAAACGTTTCACAATTGGTCACTGCAATGTGTTGTATTTCATCCCTGGTCTGCGTATGTTTGTTGCTCCTCGATATTGTAGAAGCGGAACCACCTGGCAGCTATCGTCTTCGCCTTGACCGTACGACCTGCCCACGCTCGGTCGCCGCTTCCAGATCCGATCTTCCGAGCCGAGATACTCAAGATGGAGATGTCCTGTTCCCATGGATCTCTTATGCGTGCTTCCGCGGAGGGCTCTTGGGCATCATTCTCCATGTCTGTGTCGTCACTATCGGGCTCCTCCTGACGCTCGCGCCTACCCTCGCACTCAGCGATATGGAGCGTTACACCTGGCTTAAGCGCGACTTCTGCCGCCGCCGAGAAGCATCTGGACAGGCCTTGGGCTGAGAAGGAAGATGTTGAGGCATGCAAAGCGATTGGATTCACCAAGACGACTCTTTCCTCTTCCTCGGCATCGGCAGCGACACTGGTTCCAGCCCGACCATATGCGGTCAAGTAGGCTAACAAGGCCTGCACAGACGCGCAGAATGCAAGTTTGACATGCCGTGTCGTGAGTAAGTTTTGAAGGGTTGGCGCGACCAACTGCTCCAGACCATCCGCGTCATGTTCACCGTGATTGTGCAGTGATGTTGCAAGATCTTGGAGGAAGCTATCCCGACTTGAGCAAATGATGAGTAGTGTTGGACATGTCTCTGACTGCGTGGTGAGAAGGTAGCGAAGCAAGGCCGGGAGGGTTAGCGGGTAGAGCACTGTTGGCGCGGGCGTTGGCGACATGACAGAACGGCTGCTTGTGGAAAGTTTGTCGGCTGTCATGTGTCGGTGCAGGCTGTCATCGGTATACTTATTCGGGGAGCACAGCTTGGGCTGGACGTGACAGGCGTGGAGGTGCCAATCGGCGGCAATACCCGCGCCCCGGGCCACCCCACTACGTCGGTTGGCCATCCATCAGAACACCCAGGGCATGCACGCCGCGACTTTCAATCACGATCACCAGGCCCAGAACCTGCTCCCTGCCTTGCCTGACTCTGCATAGTCGGCCTCCCGTTTGTGCGCAGAGACGAAGCGCGCACGCTCCGGACCGAAGCGCTGTCCCAGGCGCACGTCGCGGTCATGGAGTCCATCAGTCGCATATCGAGCTTGCTGGAGACAGGTATGGCGCCTTTCACATTTTTCATACAGATATGCTGCCCGTTTCTGCTCCCCAATCTAGCCTATAGGCCTTTTGACCATGTAATTCCTTGGTGCCGCCGTTATGCATCCCTCGAACTTCGCTCACTGGTCTCTCTCTGCAGCTCGCGACCTTACCCTCGAAGCCGCCCGCGATGCCAGTAATGTCCGCCGAGCGCCGACGAAAGAGTTGCCCTCGGGCCAGCTCAAGAAGCTCCTTGACAGCAGATCAGAGCGCGATGTGCTCGAAGGACTGCGAAGAGTCGTCACTGTAGCAAGCCCCGCCACGGTCTCGAGACCAGCCCATTGGACGCTGTGGGACGTGTAGTAACTGACTACAGCGCATCTAGATGTCCTACCGACAGCCGCCTTCGCAAACGCTGCCCTTCTTCTCCCACGTGATCAAGAACGTCGCATCCCCCTCGCTCCAGGTCAAGAAGCTCGTCTACATCTACCTCCTCCAACATGCCGAACACGAACCAGACACCGCGCTCCTCTCCATCAATACGATACAGAAGTCGCTCACAGACACGAACCCTCAGCTTCGTGCCCTCGCCCTACGCGTCATGTCGAGCATAAGGGTGCCTGTCATTAGCCAGATTGTGAGCTTGGGCATAAAGCGCGGTTCTGGAGACATGTCAGCATATGTCAGGAGGGCAGCAGCTCTGGCGATACCAAAGTGCTATAGGCTGGATCCAAACACCGAGCCACAGCTACTGGAATACCTTTCGACACTCCTGGGTGACAAGCAGTACTTCGTGACGGGGGCAGCTGTATCATCTTTCTTGGAGCTATGTCCGGAGCGTCTGGATCTTATACATCCGCATTATCGTTCCTTGGTACGAAAACTAGTCGATATGGACGAGTGGGGGCAGTTGGCTACACTGCGGCTGATGATGATATATGCAAGGAAGTGCTTTCCGCGCCGGACGAGGAAGGTCAAGAAGGCAGCTGGGGTCACGACAAATAGCAAGCCTACGCAGTCGACGAAAGGCTTCTACGACTCGGAAAGCGACTCAGAAGAAGAGGAAAAGGAACAAGAACAGGACATGGAAGAGATTGCTGTGCTGGATCCGGACCTCGAACTGCTGCTGAAAGGCTGTCAGTCACTTTTGCAGTCTCGGAACGCGGCTGTGGTGATAGCGGTGGCAAGGACGTACTTGTATCTCGGTACCCCGGAGTACCTGACTCAGGCCATTGGCCCGCTGATATCCCTCTTGAGATCTGCGGGAGACATTCAGCACATCGCACTGTACAACATCGTGCAAGTCTGCCTGACACACCCGGAGCCATTCGTCAAGTACTACACACATTTCTTGGTGCGGTCAACCGATGCACCACACATCTGGCAGCTCAAACTGGAACTGCTTACTCTGATATTTCCCCATGCACCTCTAAGACTACAGAGCCTGATCTTAGCTGAATTGAGCCATTTCTCCCATTCCGGAAGCTTGGATCCAGCATTGGTCAAGGAATCAGTGCGCGCAATCGGCCGCTGCTCGCAGAGCCCCGCAACAAGCCCACAGACCTCCGCAAGATGTCTGAAGCTGTTGCTAAAGCACATAGGATCGGCCGATACTCATCTGGTAGCCGAATCGCTGGAAGTCATCCGACATCTGATCCAACGAGACCCGAACGCTCACCGAACAACTGTGGTCCGGTTAGCGAAACACCTTGATGCAGCAACGAGCCCCCAGGCACGAGCAAGCATTATATGGCTGGTCGGAGAGTTTGCAGGGATCGATCCAGAAAACAACATCGCCGCTGATGTTTTACGTATTCTTGTCAAAGGCTTCGCGGATGAAGCTGAGCCGGCAAAGCTCCAAATCGTACTGTTGGCAGCGAAGGTCTATGTGCATCATTTAACTGCAAACCCGCCTCCAGAGCCGAAAGTGGAAGAGCCCAAACCGAGTCCGTCGCTCATGGACGATTTCCAGGAAGACCAAGGCGGCTTTAGGGATGAGCACCTGGAGTCCGCCCCACAGAATGCGGAGCCTGAAGAGGAGAAGCCACATATTATCGAAGCCCTATACAACTACGTGCTCCTGCTCGTGAGGTACGACACCTCGTACGATCTCCGCGACCGCGCTCGTGTCTACAAAGCGCTTCTGGCCACACCAACATCGACACAACTCGCGTCGCTCTTACTTCTTGCACCGAAACCAGTGCCACATATACCCAGCCCGAGTGAAACAAGAAAGGGCTACGTGCTCGGCAGCGCCAGTCTCGTCATCGGCGACGAAGGCGGTGTAGGTGGTCTCCGAGGCTACGAAGACCTGCCCCGTTGGGTCAAAGAAGGTGACGAACCGGATCCCGCTCTACGTGACGAGGTCGTCTCAAACTCTTCCTCGACTTACGTATCGGCATACGAGACCGCTAAGAACATGTCAGCGGCGGAGAGGTTAGACGCCGCAGCAGGTGGTAGCAGCAGGATGACGCCAGACAGCATGTTGAGTCCACGAAGTCTGAACGGCATGGGCGGAGACTCTAGTATGGGCGGTGCAAGTAAATTACCACAGAAAGAGAAGACGCTGGACGATTGGCTGGCCGAGGAAGAAGAGGAGAGCAGCAGTGAAGAGGAAACCGATGAAGAGGAAGAGACAGAGGAGGAGAGCGAATACGAAACAGACAGTGAAGAGGAGACTGATGATGACGAAAGAGGGAACCTCATCAAGTAGATGTGGAGGTACCAAACGAATGATTATCTTCCATGCCTCCTTCACCATGTTCATGTCATTCTTCCCTAAGGACCCTTAGTAGCCTTGTCCTCGCTTGCCTGCCCAGATCCTCCCACTTCACCCTCTCTGTTCATCCCTTTCTGTTTGCTCGTGCCATCAGCGTTGGCCTCCCCTCTCTTGACTTTATCCTTCCAGCAGTCTCCGCATTCGTACGGCTGTATGGAGGGTTGGTCAGGCTCCTTGTTGCAACTCTTCATCTTGACCCAAATATCGTTCGTAAGTGGTGCTCGTGGATATCGTAGTCGTCGATACCGGCCCGGCTTGGGTACGACTTTCGAGCATGGATAGCCACCCGGTTGTGTCTGGGATCCGTGTGGGCATTGTAATATTGTTTCGTGTATCTCACACATGATCAAATGGTTGTGTAGGCGATTCGACAACGAAAAGATATGTGGTGGTACTTGAAGACTAAAATACGGTGGAAGTGTCTTGGTGAAGTGAGAAAGAGTTGTTTTCGAATGCGTTTATACAATCGCAGACTCATCGTGCGACTGTAAGGGTTGAGTCAAAGGCTTTGATGACTATATGTGTGACAAAGTGTACTACAAACAACAAGTCTGACGCATGGAAGTGCTGAGTGATCTACTTAAGAGTTTGAGTCGCAAGTCGTAGCCCGAGTGACAAGACTCACGTAAAAGTTTAACCTACCTAGATATATATTATCTATCATGAGATGAAACGGCAGTCTTTTAGCACCAATGCATCCTACCCATGTGGTCGTCAAAGAAGTTGACAAGACGATAATGCAATGAGCTTATGTTGTTTATTGTCTGTGAGGGGGTTCGACCTTTTTACATAGACGAAGCCACGCAACACCGCTTCATCCTGTGTGAGCTTGGGTTTATGGAAGAAGCTGAAGAAGACTTTAATTGATGGTATATTTTGGTAATTCGATGGTGTTGATGATATAATATATAGATAGTATCCATCGCCAGCATCAAGACATTCTTGCCTCTCTATCATTGCTAAATACAGAGCCTTACTACTTTCGCCTTCGATCTGAGCTTCTATTCCGCTCAAAGAACCGCTATGAAGTTTGGAAGCATTATGAGTACAGTGCGAGGGCCCCACTGCCCTGTGATGGGTATATGTATACATACACCCCGCGCGCCACATACCGGTGATAGAGGGTATGGTCGATGGATCACGCTAGTCGGGGGTATCCCGAACAGGCAAGGCTACTGCACGTAGAATCCATATGTAGTGCCCCACAGAAGGATGTAGCGTCTTCAACCACGCGAATGCGAGTCGCAGTTGCCGAGATAAAAACCCGGTCGAAGGGCTGCTCTATGCGCGTCTGCAGCGGGGAATAGCTCGTGACTCGTGGCTCGCAACTATTGATGTAAACTATATGAGCGGCACGTTGCTGTCGAACTGATTTTACCTGATATCTCTCATATCTTGGCTTATCAATATGAACGGCACGGCTAAGTCCCTCCCATATGCTGTCAATACCCTTCCTTTTTTGGGGAGGGTCATCGCTGTTACTGGAGCCAGCCGTGGACTGGGTCTGGCTGTTAGCAAGTACGTGCTGATAAGAGGTGCCACTGTATCTATGTGTGTAAGTAATGTTCTGGTGTTGAATACATGCGAGACATTTGCTAAGTTGGTGCACCAAACTTCAGGCAACGTCGGTTGACAATCTGTCGAAAGCCACTAAAGAAATTGACGCTGAGCTTCCAGACGCCAAGGACCGGTACTGGACGTGCGTCGTAGATATCGCCAACCTGGACAGTGTTCGGTCTTGGATCGAGGAGACTGTGGCTAAATTTGGAAAGCTTGATGGTGCCGCAAACGTCGCTGGTAAGCTCAATTAGCCTTCTGGATACTGGACGTGTTTCTGATCGAGTCGTCTAGCGGTGGAGCAACGCGAGATCTTCCCTATAACCGATCTCGACCCAGAATATTTTGCTAGGCTGCTCAACGTGAACGTTGTTGGTACTTTCCATTGTTTGAAAGAAGAAATGAAGGTTATCAAGGATGGTGGCTCGATCGTCAATGTTGGAAGCATTGCGAGCCACTACGGAACGCCTGGCACGTCAGGTAAATACGGAGGTTCTCCAAATGCATACGAAACATACGCTGACTTTGCATCTCCACCTTTGAAGCATACGTTGCCGCCAAGCACGCGCTCATTGGTCTTACGAAAGTTGCAGCTTTTGAAGGAGCGTCAAGGCGAATCAGGGTCAACGCGCTGTGCCCGTAAGTCACTTGGATGGCTGAAGACGACCTGAGCTAACTGTAAGCAGCGGGTGCTTCAACACAGAAATGATGACGAAGTAGGTTCTGTTCTGTACAGATTCATCGTGACACATCCGCTGACTTCCGATACTTAGGCCTTTCAACTCAGCTGCTGGTGAATTCCATCTGAATAAAGACAACATTCCATGTATCTTGAACCGTGAGCTTCCAGAAACATGGGAGATAGCTGGATCGGTCGCTTTCCTGCTGGGCGATGAGGCCGCGCACGTTACAAAAGCGTCATGGTCCATTGATGGTGGGTGGGTCGAGAGTAACTACAGCTCGGGCTGAGAATGTGAGTGATGAAGATCATGGAGTTTGGGGTTCGGTGTATCGATGCAGCGTGCGCGGCTGTTGGGCTGTAGAAGTGCACATTGCAGTTTTCCCGAAGTTGCGCGGTCGCGGTCGCGTTCTCGGGTTTCGCGTCGTCATCGTGGCTCAAGCGCCAGCCGTAGTTAGCTCAATGCTTATCGCTATCATCCCCTGCCACCTCCATGGCTGCACCTTCTTTCCGACGGGATACGGTCACGTGTATCTGCTCTGATGCTTCCAGCGTCTCCGTCGGAAAACACCGCAATGCGTCTTCGTGCGTATCGTTCCGTGGGATGGCGCCTGGGACTGCATACAAGACTGTCTATATAACCAGTCCCCAGCTATTTAGCAACATGGGGAACACAAGCAACGCCAAACATCATCTTTCCCATCGACCAGTACAGCTGCAGCGAGATAGACACCACCATGCCTCTTCCATACGCAGACGCCGACATTACGCAATTGCAGCGCGATGCGGACGACAATCTGCTCACATACGGGACCGCATTCCATCCTGAGATCATCACCTCCACCGATGGCATCAACGTGCAGACAGCATCGGGTCACCGAATGATGGACGTAAGTGGCTTCAAGCTCCGGAAAGCCTCAAGTATACACCGCTAAATGTTGCATTTAGTTCACTTCAGGCCAGATGAGCACTCTGATAGGACATGGCCATCCTGAGGTTGTGAAAGTGATCGCGGATCATGCGCAACATCTCGATCATCTTTTCAGTGGGATGATCAGTCCCCCAGTCATCAATCTTGCAAAACGATTAACTGGCGTTGCGCCGGCTGGGCTCGACAAAGCTTTCTTTCTCAGTACGGGCGGCGAAGCGAACGAAGCCGCGATTCGGCTGGCAAAATTCTACACTGGCAAATGGGAGATCGTTGGTCTGGCTGCCTCATGGCATGGCATGACAGGCGGGTCGCTCGGTGCTCAGTACCACGCCGGACGGTCAGGCTACGGTCCCAACATGATTGGGGTAAGTGTAGCTGCATTAACTGCATGTGAGAGGTGTACTGACTTTCTGTACCTACATTAGAACCTAGCACTGCCGACTCCAAACTCCTATCGATCGATCTTCAGACACGCTGATGGTACGCATGACTGGAAGACTGAGTTGGACTACGGTTTCGATCTTGTAGACAAACAGTCCTGCGGCTCACTCGCAGCAGCTATCGTTGAGCCGATCCTATCGAGTGGCGGTATGCTGGAGCTTCCCCCTGGATATCTGAAGGCCTTGAAGGAACACTGTACCGCTCGAGGCATGCTTCTCATTGTTGATGAAGCACAGACGGCACTTGGCAGAGCTGGCGATATGTTCGCATTCACACACCACTCCGAGGACGAAAGCGTAGTACCGGATATCGTGACACTCAGCAAGACGCTTGGAAATGGCATACCGCTCAGTGCCGTGTTGACGTCGAACCCCATCGCCCAGCATGCCAAAGATAACGGCTTCTTGTTCTACACTACCCATATCAACGATCCCCTTCCAGCTGCTGTGGGCGACAAGGTTCTCGAGATCGTCATGAGAGACGAGCTCTGCGCTCGTTCCAAGAGGCTCGGTGTCAAGCTCCAAGCAGGACTCAGGCAATTGCAGTCACGCTACGGTTGCATTGGGGACGTCCGTGGTCGCGGTCTGATGGCTGGAATGGAGATTGTTGGCGACAGAAAGACAAAGGTCGGTGCCCCGGAAGTAGGAGCCGCAGTGTCAACAAAGATTGCAGAGATGGGCTTGTGGGCTCAGCTAGCCACGATGGCATCGTTTGGTGGAGTGTTTCGGATAGCGCCACCGATCACAGTTACCGAGGAGCAAATCGATCTCGCCTTGTCAATTATCGAGGCAGCGCTTGCGACAACTCCGGGTACGATGCCGCTCTACACTGATGTCACCGCGCACTTGTAATATAGATTGGTTTACAGGAAAAACATCCATTTCAATTGGCTATAATATTCAGACCTCATATACTGGTTAAGTATACAGTTTTCTATTTGAGTACAAACTCTCTGGGTCGAGTATGGACTCTGCTTGGTGGACATAAGGTCCCTGGGTGGAGTGTACACCTTCTGTTGGCGATCGGTGGTCATCTTCGCAGGCCATGCTATCTTTTACTTCGAGTACCTCAGGTGTACAAAGAGTCAACGCGTTTTTCGAATTTCCTCTTGTCGTTCAACTCACTCTCCACCTTGTTCAACTTTGTCTCCGTAGCCGCTTTCGTTGCCTGCTCGGCCTGTACCCTTGCCTCGACATCTAGCAAGGCCTTTTCGAGACTAGACTTCGACTGCAGAGCTTCGTTGAGTGACATGGCCTGCGCATTCAGTGCATCTTGAAGCGCTGATTCTGTCTCTTCTAGGTCCTCAATTTCCTTTCGTATGACGCGCTTCAAGCGGCCACACTGGGGTGGTAATCAGTTTTAATGAATTCTGCTATCTCGAACGTGACTTACCAACAGTACTGGGTCTTCCTTCTCGTCTTCTCCCGCGGCGTCATCGCTTGCAGGCCTCTTCCTCTTGGGCTTGGATGCAGTTTCAGACATCGCTGGTACAGCTTCGTGTTTTATGTTTGGTTCCTGATCATAGGTCTTTGTTTTCGGAAGTGGCCTTGTGGCAACGTTATCGCCTTGTTGTACCATGTTATCAAGCGCCCGCGTAGAGTCATTCTCAGGTGCTTTGAGTGGCGGGAATACCGAGAGCTCTTGCTTGACAAGTAGCTTCTTCTCTATCTCCTGGTCAAGCTCGATGTTCGACCCGTCAGTCTCGGGTTTCGTGATATCGCAAGCAATTGTTGGAAGAGCTAGACGATCTCGCGTCGGATTCCTCGACCTTGACGCATTGGCGATCATTGTGCATGCTTTCTTCAAGACTTTCAGGCCGTCATGCGTCATGACAAGTCGGTCAAGACCCGGGGTATTCTGCTCAAGGAAGTAATATAAGATCAGAAATCGTAGTGACTTGAACCAAGGGCCACTGCCAATCTTCTCAAGCCAATTGAAGGGTTCATGGTATTCGATTTCTCGCAGCAGCTCGATCTCCTTCTCTCCTTGCCGAAGGTGTAATTCTATATTAGGGCCATCACCAAGCCTGAGGCGCACCAGGTTGAATACGCCGCTCGCAGGAGACTTGTATGCTTTTGCATACACACGGGCTTGACTAGTACTCTTTTGATTGCCAATAAGTAGCCAAATTCCTTGGTTGCCTTGCGATTTTCGGCTTGCTACGTAGAACCTGAGGTTCGTCTTCGTGGCTATAGGGAGGTAGCGGAAATTTGTTCGCCACGCACTGTCTTTAGCGATCGTATCGTGGAACTCTTGCAAACTGTAGCCAAAGCGGTTGTCTGCCATAGCTCGAGTCGCTCTGAATAGCTGTTCCGGTAGTAAGAAGTACGGGTAGACGGCGACTGATCACGGCGTTTGCGTAGATAGGTGTGGGTGTACTGCCTGCAGTAAAGGCTGTTAAGGCTAAAAGGGTGCGTAGGACGAGGCTGAGTAGTAGTAAGGAGGAACAAATATGTACGACAATGAGTGTGGAGCTGCTAGCGCAGCTAGTAGCAGTCGTAGGTGCGTGTAAGTCGGTAAAGGTGAACTGAGCGAGATAAGTCCACAGGTGGATATGACGGGCGCTTCGACACCTCCAGGGCAGTCAAATCACCACGAGCTCCGATCAACCTCACCTTACACCGCAATCAGATCTCTTACACCTGCTTTCTACTGCGGTACATCGTCGCGGTAATTATCTCTTCCGCCTGCACCGGCATAACCAGACCATCTTGGGCCGCCGGGCCAACGAGGGTCCCGTGTTTTCTTGCCGTGGTTGCCTTCCTTACTTTTACGTTCCTGTTCCTTCGCCAGACAGCCTGGACACGGTCTACTTTCGGGGTGGAATCGATTTTCGACCTTGTTGCATTGATGCTGTATGATGGAATGTTGGGCTCGTGAGCATAACGTTAAAGGGTGTAAAGGGCGAAGTAGTGTGTCCCCGCATGAGTATTGTATGCAGTGGCGGACGCACATTGTCAAGTCTAATATCCGGAAAATGTATATGAGAAAGCAAGTACGGTCTCGCCCATTGCTTTAGTATGTCGTGCGCGTGAAGAGCTGGCACCAGTGAATGACAGCGAAGTGAATTGGTATGTGGAATGGCAAAAGTTTGACATTTTTGTGCTAGCAAACCAGCATAAAATAATATTTACAGTAAAGAAGTCGCCAGCGAAGTGAACGACCTTTGGCATCTTCACACCCTTGCACCATCACAGCATCTG